GGCTGAAATGGTCCACTTGTTTTCCACTTTCTGCTGAGTTGTCGTGCGTTCCAACCGAAAAGCCCCCTTGTCCAAATTCACCTTTCAATTGCCAATGAATGCACTGAATAGTGTTGAAGAAACTCCATAGGGAGTAGTCGAGATTTCGGACAGGTGTCCGAAAAAGAAGACGGAATCCTCGCACGGCTGTACGCGAGCGTCGAGATAGGATTCTTTCATTGTGCGAGCGACACTCCAATCCCCCCAGATGCCAATGCGGTAGGAAGGGACTCCTGTTGCAGCGCATTCCGATGCGGCACCCATGCGAAGCGAGTGTGAGGACCACAACACTTGCGGAGGGGGAGTGACGCCAGCGTGAGTCAGGCAAGCTTGGAGCCAACGTGAGATGCTTGCCGATGACGGTGTGAGCCGTTGGCCCGGGAGGTCCCAATAGTAGCGACTTGTGGAGCGGGTGTTTCGGCGGTAACGGTCGTACCGTAAGACCAAGTCGATGAGCGATGGCTTGTCAGGAGCTAGCCTAGTGTAGGATAGAGTATGTGCCACGCGAGACCGATTTTTCCGTAAAGCAATTGCCAAGTCAATCGATTGTTCCGAAACTTGAATGTTGTCCATGCGAAGCGCAGCGCCAGCTTCCCCCCTTTCGAAGAAGACGTAGGAAACCAGAACCGCAGTAGCGTTGCGAATCAACTGACGGTTGAGAGCAGGAGCGGCCATAGCAGCGTCGAAGATTTTCTTGGCTATGGTGCTCGGGAGGGCCCGTCGTTCCTTGTGTGCGTCCGGGTCGTTTTCGGCGCGGCGATCTAGGTCAGATTGTTGGTAGGCGGCCAACGCGAGCTGGATGAGCGGGGTGTATTCCACGGGCAACTTGACTCGTTTGTGGGCCGTTACCACTACTGAGATGTAATTCTTGACTGATCCCCCAGCAATCGTGCCTGAGTCGAAGTGCCAACCGAGGTACCTGAACAGAGATCCTTCTTCAGCAATCCATGGTTCGATCCTTTCCAGAGTACAGAACCTAGCCCACTTCTGCCAGAATCGCTCATTGCATTTCCAGGTGTTGGGCGCCCGAGCGCGATGAATCAGACCAGCGATAGTAGTTCCTCCGCCTGACATTCAGACTCCGGCGGCGCGTAGAACTGAGCCACGAAGCGCAGCGGCTAGCGGAAGTTGCTGCGTATCGTCCAGATGGCTATTTTCCATGGTGGGGCCGGCAGGTGCTGTGGTGCCCACAATGGGGGTAGATAGACGTCTGGCGCCTGAAACAGCTGAAACGTTCCGATTTCCTTGAGGCGACGACACCACGACTGAGTGGGCCACCCCGGGGTGACCAGGAAGCCCTGTGCCGTTTCCTGGATGATCTCCTCCACGACGAGTGGGATGAGCTTGAGCGGTGGGTTCCAGAAGTTGATCTTTTGTCCCCAATGTTGCTGTAGCGCATCGATTCCTGAGGATCCCGGTGAGCGGTAGCGGCTGTTGAACTGGCGGCAGATCGTTGATTCTTGATCCGCGAACCGGTCGATTGTTGGATCCATCTCGTGTAAGAGCGCCCTGATTGTCCGGGTGTTGATCCTCCAGTCGTCCAGTGAACGAAAGCGAGAGAGGCGATCTGCGAAGCGGTTGACGGCAGAAGGGACGTATCGTGACTCGATTGAGATTCCCAGCTTGAGCAGTACCCTGTGTAGCGCCCGCAATTCCTTCATGAGGGCTGGTGAGCGCGTGGTCATCGTGTTGAGTATGTGGACCACGGCCTGATTGTCCTCCCATACGCGGAGATGGGTCCCCGTGCGAAGGTCGTCTGCGAATGCCTTCAGATTGTCCGTTACTGCCCTGAGTTCCAGAAAGGTGATGGGCTTCGTACGCAGATGCGGATCCCAGAGCCCTTTCGCTTCCCAGACCCCTGGTTCCGCCATCCTGAGGTCGTGTCCCAGTGTCCCTCCCATCCCGATTGAGGTTGATGCATCGGAGTGCATTGCCATTGTGGCCGTTTGGTGATGGAGAGGGCGCGTAGACGGTGATTTGACCAATTCTTTCCAGTGTATCAGGTCCCGGATGGCTGCGTGTTTGAGGTTCACGCGCCGCTTCGTTGGTCCCCGTAGTGAGTCGTACAGTGAACGGGTGTAGAAGCGGGCGAGAGGCATGGCCAGAGAGCATGAGATGGCCACCCCGAGGAAGTGGCGTAACAACGATGTTTCCACCAACCGACGGTTCTGTCGGGCTTGTTGTAGCAGTTTCCGAGCGATAGCCTGAATCTTCTGAATCCGTTTGTCCGTGATCCCGAATACTTGAGCCTTGGTGTCGATCACGAAACCGAGGTGGTCCAATCGTTGCGACCCGTCCCAGCAGCCTTTGCCTGGCTTTCTGCGGAGACCGGTTTTCTGCAGCAGTTAGTCCAGGAGCCGCTGGGCTCTGCGGAGTTCGGTGTGACCTTGAACTGCGACCAGAAAATCGTCCATGTACGGGTGGATGCGGAGATTGAGCCGGTCCCTGATGTACTCGACGAAAGGTCGCATGAACTTGACGAAGTAGAACGGAGATAGCTTCCATCCAAACGGTAGGGCGATACAGCGAAAGTAACGTCCATCGATTCTGAAGAGGAACCAGTTGCGGATAGCTGGATGTAGCCTGAAATGATGGTACCCTTTCTCTATGTCGAACGAGAGCAGGTGGTCGTTCGGCTTGATTTCCAAAGCGAAGGATTCCAGTGTTTCCATTTTGACGGGAACAGACCGAAAGAGATCTGACTGTCGCTTGGGGTTGACGACCAATAGTCGCTTTTCCGTGCGCACGATGAAGGCGTTGGAGATAGGGAATCCTTGCTTGTTGAGGCGGTGAGCCTCCACCGGGGAGATTTCCTCGTAGATATGGCGGCGCGTGGCATCGGCGAGTTCGTTGCGTAGCCAGTCCAAATCCAGAGGTTCCACCGGGATCTCGGGGAGTACGAAGCGTGTGGCCAATTTGGCTGAGTTGACCGGCTTCTCGTACACCCCGAACTTGATGGCTCGGACTAGGAAGTCCGGAGCCCTGAGCCCTTCGCGGACTAGGAAGTCCGGAGCCCTGAGCCCTTCGGCCCAGAAACGTGCTTGGCGGTGTGGGTTTCGCCATAGCACTGAAGGGTCCGGTTTGCGGACCATTACTTGGAGCTAGACCCGGAAGAGCCTGAGCCTCCTGAATTGGGGTTCCGCGGCGGATACCGCTGCGCCTCTTTTCCTGAAAGTCCCCTTGAGACAAGTCCTGTAGCCTGTGTTCCTGAGTTGCGAGCAGCTTGTTTGTTGAATTCCTTGGCGTAGGCCTGGGAGCGGAGTTCGGCAAACTTCTCCTTGGTGTCCCTGTAGAGTTGGGACACGTAGGGCTGATATTGCTCGCGTAGGTACTTCTGGAGAAGTACCGCCTCGGACTTGCCTGATTCCACAGAGTCTGAGAAGAAGTCGACTCGCTCCTGCACCCGTTCGTACGAGGCTTGGAGGTAGTGGTTCAGGACTGAAAAGGCCTCAGTAGCGGCTTGAGTGTTTCCAGTGGACAAGGCCTCCGCCACTTTGTGAGATGCGGCGAGGGCAGTTTCCGTGTTGTAACCGACGTTCCAGAGTACCTCAGCTTCCCAACCGTCCCTTGTGTCCGATTCCTTGATGCGCCCGAACAGCTTCTCGTTTTCAGGAATGAAGCGTTTGGCGGGGAATGGGGCCTGGGTAGCGGGTTTCTGGAAGAAGTTGAGTTTCCAAGTTTCCCCGTACTGTTGGCGTGTAGCGACGGTGTCAGCGATTCCTTGAGCAGTCGGAGCTGGAAGTGTGAACTGAAGTCCCCTGTCGGCGTAGACGGCGTGAGCAGACGTGAGCTGCGGTGGTGCAGGGCCCGCGTGGGGGGTCCTGGCACCCGGTTCCTCGGCGGCTTGTAAAGCCGGCGGAGCGGCTGGAGCCTCAGCGGTAGCGGCGGTAGGAGCCGTACCAGCGGGGCGGTTCGGGAGCAGCGGGAGAATCTGGGCGACCTGCGTTTCCAGTGAGTTGACCATGTTGACGAGAGCGGCAGACGGAGGGCGACTGGTAGAAGGCTGGTTTTCCAAAGTGGGCACTGGACCAGAGATGCCTGCGGATCCGGACGAAGATTGGACTTCTTCAGCATTAGGCATAATGCGCGATTTTGTTGAGAGCCGGCCGTGACGATGATCCGTCTGGAGCTTGTTGAGTTGTGAAACGAGAACAAGCGACGACTTGAGGAAGAGAGAAGAGTGGTGAGAGAGTTTGACGTGCCTCTCTTATACAGCCCTGTTTTCGGACAGTGGCCGAATTTCCATTTCTGCCAAGTTCCATGACGCGAATGAAGAATTATTCGCAATCATTTCCAAGTCATAGTGGGGGTACCAAACCATTGCGTGTGACTTGGTGATGATTCATTTTCTGCCAAGTGTTGATTACGCGAATGAAGAAACAGTACCAAGTCATTAGTGACTTGGTGCTGATTTTTTGCTTTTGCCAAGTTCTTCATTACGGGAACGAAGAATCATTCCAAATCATGGCGTGTGGCTTGGCGCTGACTTGTCGCCAAGTCATCCTGACTTGGCTTGGTGCGGCTGAAATGGTCCACTTGTTTTCCACTTTCTGCTGAGTTGTCGTGCGTTCCAACCGAAAAGCCCCCTTGTCCAAATTCACCTTTCAATTGCCAATGAATGCACTAAACCTCGACAACCGGTGGACTGCACACACAGAACTGCAAAATTCGTTTATAGCTATCCAGTCACTACATTACACGTAGGATTTCGTATAGCGCAATTTTTGGCGTTTGCAGCGCCCCGGTGGACACACCCTAAATCTCATTATCTTTAGGTTTAGGGGATAATGTCTGGTTAGTGCCGTTTTCGGCCCACTGACACAGGGTAGCACTATATCGCCAATCCCCCCTTTTTGTGAAATTGTATTCGCGTCGACCACTGTAAAGATTCAGTGTGGTCAATCTTTTTGAAAAGGAGCGCCCATAATTAGTTTTCATTGGACGGCAGTTTTGGTGCCCATCTATGCATGATCCTTGGTTTTGGCAAGGGAAGCAACACGGCTCCTGCGGCGATGTTCGCATAAATGCGAATAGCTCTTTTCTTTGGGGATCAGTTCGTACGAATAATCGCGGTTGGGCGTTATTGTTTCAAAGTGTAGCTGTAGTATCGGGTTCACCAAGCTTTTGCATATCAGCAACAGTTTCTTTAACGCCATCGCGATGAGCTTTCGACCGAAGCGTGGCGGGTCCCTTTCGCTCTGCTCCTTGGTAATAGTTCTTTTGATTTCCACGCAGGCAGCAGCCCTCTTCTGCGGGGATGACAACTGCTTCGAGCTACTGGGAGTGCGTCGCAATGCGACGAAGGCTGAGGTACGGCGTGCATATCGACGTCTCTCCGCCGAATTACATCCAGACAAGAGGCCAGGGGTTGAAGGGGCCGTAGAGGAGTTTGCAAAGATTGGAACTGCATATGAAACACTGACAGACAATGAGAAGCGTGCGAAGTATGAGGATTTCTTGGACAACCCGGGAAAGTACTGGCAATACCTGATGGACAACGCCAAAGATGTATACGCCCCGAAATCCAACGTATATTTCGTTCTCACGGGAATAGTTGGTATTGTCACGCTTCTTCACTGGCTGAATATGAACTATTCTTACAAACAGACTCTTCAAAGATTACGAGAATCTCAGGAGTTCAAGAGGGAAGTCTCACGTCTAGTGAAATCAAAGCAGGCGAAGACAAAAGAAGAGGCTGAAGCCATGATCAATCTCGACGTCGTGGGGCTTGAAGAGCCGGACTGGCGAAATCTGATAATCTTCAAGCTAATGGCTCTACCGGGCTGCGTCGCAAGAGTAATGCTGTGGAACATTAATTGGATTGTCGCATACAAGATTCGAAAGCAGGAGTACTCAGACAGTGATAAGATTTACCTGATACAAAAGAACATGAAGCTTTCTGACCAAGCTTGGGAGAGCCTATCTGTTAAAGATCAGCAATTGTATGTCAGTGAGGAGCTTTGGGACTCTGAAAAGTATGAAGAATTTGTCTTCAGAAGAAGGATTGAGCTTAACAAGGCAGGCAAGAACAAGAAGAAGAAGAGGCATACGCCAACCCCATACTCAGAAGTCGAGGAAGTCACAATGTCCGACTAGGCAGTTGTAGTCGCGCTTCGGAAAATTGACGTCATCCCTGGTTATTTGGGAACTCAAACAGACAGTGTTCGTGCTGCTGCAGCACAGCACAGCTCTTCGGCATTCGACCAAATTTGTCTAGCCTGTTACTATCTCATGTTCATATAGATTGGCTCCGCAGCACCCGCCTTCTTGTCCACGAAGAACTTAACAAGCTAATACAGTAAAATCACGCGTCCCTAAGAAAGACACTTTATGCATGCTGGGAACGCAGTGCTTGGAAACACCTTTAGCGAACGGGAGCACCCTCTCCGCGAACTTTTGTGACGTAACTTAATACTTGGTCCGGAATGCCCCCTAATACGCGCTCGGCCATCTGTGAAAGGTCTCCTCTAAATTCTTGAAACGGGACAAACTGTACAAACTCTCGTAAGGCAAATTCGGCACCTCTGCGCAACAGACCGTTTGAGCTGTCCAAAGCATGCATCTTGCCAAAATCCTCCGACCCGACGCCAATAATTACGATTGACAATGGAAGTGCGCTCAACTTGATAAGCTCCGCTGTGGTCGCGTCGTAGTCACTAATGACACCGTCGGTGAGAATGAGAAGCACTGTATATGCCAGACTAGCGTTACCAGCGCGAGCAGCAGCTTCTGCCCGCCTTGACACAATTGTTCCCACTGTTCGCAAAACCTCTGAAAAGATAGTGGGGCCATACAGCTGAACCCGGCTTAGAGTCGCTTGGTAAGCCCGCACGAGGCCATCAACCCCGTTGCAGTAAGGATCCCCTAGTTCGTATTCTGTAACTGGAAAGCAATGAGATATGTCGTATGATGGCGGGAGGTTCGCCCCAAATCCATATGCTGGGATTCGGGAATCCGAGGAGTAACTCGACAGCATATTCCCAACCGTTCGCATCGCCGCTTCGTACTCGTTCGGAGGGACTGGGCCAGCACCTGGGACTGGGTTGTAATGCCGCGTCCCCGGCCTCCGCGGATCGCCGTTCGATGAGGTAAAGTCAACAGCACAGACAAGCCCGAAATCGCACCATCCACCTTTCAGATACTCCATGAAGGACGGTTGAACCTCTTCGGAATAGTTTTGAATAGTGAGAATGCCTGTTGGTTGAAGGCGAAGTATCGGATCTTGTGCATTGGTGCATGTGCGCTTCAGGGCAGGAAAGTGAGTGACTATTTGACCAACAATCTTTCCCGAGTCGCCAGACTGAGATTGGACGATAGCTATCTTCAGTAACCGTGACTCATCACCTTCGGTCAGATCGTACTCAGATAACGTAAATGGCTCAAGTTTGATTCCTCGGACTAAATCTGTGTAGTCTTTGATTTGCGTCGATTTGTGCACTTCTTCCCATTGGATATCAGGAGAGTTCCAGTCCAACGCAGCTGTCGCGGACTTTGGGGCGCGCATGATAGTCAGAAAAGGAACAAACGGCGGTGGAGCAGTGACGATTTTTTGTATTTCCTGATGAACGGCTGCTCGAGAAAGGACTTCCTTCTGAACTTGGTTTTCAAGATGGGCTGGTAGCACAGCTGGTTGCTTGGGTTCCTTGCGAAAGCGGTTAACAATGACGGCAGGACCTCGTCTTTGCAACTGAGGCTTGTCGATCGGAGCATTTGCTTGGGTCTTCAACGATTCTAGGTAGGCATTTTGAGCTGATGTTTGTTCTTCGGACATCAGTTGGGCGACAGACATCTCAATTGTTATCATCTTCTTCGCCGAAAGTATCTCTTCAGCCTGGAGCAGAACGGTACCCACTTTTTCTCCGCCTCTCTGGACATTAATCAGGTTGATCTCTAGGGAAGCACTCCTTGCAGATACAATCTTGCCAAGTGTGCAGTCGGCAACGCCGATTAACGAGTGGTGTTGCAAATTCTCGGATTCAGTGGATCTGTCAAAAATAACAATGCGGAGCTCCTGGTAGAGTTCGAAGCGATACTCTATCTGGAAAATGCGACGATAATCCGGGTCGGCATTACGTCGAGAGGTTTCCGAGCGAGAGATTTCTCTCCAGTCGGACTTTCCAGACGTCTTATGGAACACGACGGCAAAACTGGAAGGTGGACTCGGATCTAAACCAACGAGACCTCGACAGGAGAGGCGGACGTCAACTTTCGTCCCTCGGGCAGCTAAAGGAGATGCCATTTGTGACTGGGAGCTGGGCATAACGGTAGGGTCGAGATTTCCTGGGTGTGGCGGTGGAGGAGGTGGCGGAATGTCCATCCTGGGTTTTCGGTCTTCTTTTGCGTGAGCGACAAAACCGACGTGGTGAGTTGGAAGCGGTGAAAGCTGGGACAGGTGAAGTCTCCTGAATGGTGTGTGAGTGAATGATGTGTGAGGAAGGAGGGAAGAAATGAGACACGGGAAGACATGCAAAGCTGACCTTAAGAGAGGGATGAGGGGTAGATATTGCAAGCGGGGTTATTGCTGGTACCAGTGCATTTCCAACAGAGTGACAACGGTTGTGGGAAAATATTGCAGCATGAGAAGGGGCTGTGTTGAGAATTGTGAGCACGTTGCTGGCATAGACGAAGAAATTCGCAGGTTTTTGGGTGGGATGCCTGTACTTACCTTGCTGGACATTCACAGTTTCACCTTGCACTGTTGGTCTCACAGATTTCGCCCCTGTTAATAATGGGCGCCGCCTCCGGAAATTATTTTTTGTGTCAGAGTCATATTTTTCTTTTTTGTGCACAAAAAATGAGTTTTGCCACGGAAATTGTGGTAAAAGGGAGTGCCCCCTGGCCAGGAGACAGGTGGGAGGGGGGGGGGGGGGGGGGGGGGGGTGCACAGTATATGTAGTAGCGAAATCCAACAGAAATGCTTGCGCACATAATGTCCAGTCGAGAAGGGACTCAACAAGGAGACCCGTCCAGCATGTTCTTGTTCTCACTCGCCCTGCAGCCGCTTGCACGCCACATCTCCGAGTCATGCGACCTCCTCATGAACAGATGGTATGCCGACGACGGCACGATTGTCGGCAGAGTTGAGGAAGTAGTGAAAGCGCTCGCCACTATCTAAGCAGAAGGCCCTAAACAACAGTTTTTACTGAACCCTACAAAGACACGTGTGTTTTGGCCCACCGTCAACCCTGAAATTCTGAGCCCCCTGTTTAATGTGGCCCCGTTCCGTGTTGCAGAGGAAGGACTGGACCTCCTCGGAGCCCCAATCGGTTCACATGGCTTCATGACACAGTAGATACAGAAAAAATTACTGCAGTGCAACAACGCCCTTCCCCAGCTAGACCGAATACCTGAAGCTCGAACCCGCTTCCACTTACACCGGGTTTCCGCTTCTGCCTATCGTGTGCAGCATCTTTTTCGCCTGGTTACCCCGGACTTTGCTCTGTCATACGCCCAACAATTTGACCGGGAACAACTTGACGCGTATGCTCGCTTTAATAGTGTGACTCTTTCCCCAACCATCGCGGCTCAAATTCGCTTGCCGTTCAGGCATGGAGGCCACGGCTTCACGTCCTTGGCTTCCACTATCCACGCCTCATACGGAGCCAGTCTCATTGACGCCGCCCCCGTCCGCTTGCAGGGCCCCCAGTTCCCCTCCGTCACACAATATCAGCGTTTTGCAAGAAGCACCCTGCGTGTGGTCCTCAGAAACTTGCCCCCCAGTGTACAACCGCCACACTTTGCGTTGACGGAGGCGGATCTCGGTTGCTTAGAACCAGCTGCCTTAGTGTCGCGACCTGAACGCATACACAACGTTTTACTTCAGGCGCAACAAAGTGCAGCAGCCCGCACATACTGGCAAAAGAACCTTTGGGAGTCGTTTCCTGCTCCAGCTGACCACAGCACCGCAAGCATACGCAGACGAGTCAGGTATAATTCCTTACTTTCCCCGGGTGCTACATCCTTCCTCACTGCCCACCCAGCTGCTACGTCTCGCGTTCACAATGCCACGTGGGCCACGATGCTCCGACGCCACCTAGATGCTCACGTCACACAAGATTCCGTCTCCCCGCTGCGTTGCTCCCATTGCTCTAAACCGATGGACACCAGAGGCGACCATGCTACTATATGTCGCCACGGTTTCGGCACGGTACACCGACATAAAACCGTCCGGAATGTCTTTGCCCGACAATCTTCCGTCCAGCTGGTCTGGCCTACTCCCTCGAGGTCCCGTTTCTCATACCCAATACCGCTGCACGCCCTGCCGACATACTCGTACAGCCCTCGCCGCCTCCTCCCGGTCTGCTTCCAGATAAGCCAACGGCTTATGATATCACTATTGGCAGCCCGTTTCGTAAAGGCGTGTTATACCAAGCCGCGCGCCACAGTGCTGGAGCCGCCGAAGCAGGCGCGTATCGCAAGCGCAAGGCCCTCGACCGCACCATCCGCAACGCTCTGCTTATCGAGGACCACGGTCCTCCCCCGTCCCTGGACTGGCACTTTCAACCACTGTCCTTCGACACTCTGGGTGCGCCCTCACAATCTACGCTTCAAGTCATGGACGCTCATGCAAAACTGATCGCTCTCCGCAGCTCCTGCACGATAGCAACTGCAAAGTCACGCATTCACCAACGCCTGAGCTTTGCCATATGGTCCAGTGTCGCTGCAGCTATCCTTTCTCGCCTACCGACACACGTTGCGGACATCACGTACCCGATAGAAGTATAATTCACCTTCATATCTGCTAGTGTATCTGTAAGCGCACCCCTTCTGCATTGATAAATTTACCCAACCAATGTGCGTCCCCCTACTGTACGCATGCTTTGTACTCACCGGACGCCGGCGATGACGCCGTCAGAGCTCTAACTACAGTATGTACAGTGTGTGCTGTGAGCTGAGCTCAATCATGATGGTGTTTTCACGAACGAGCAGCCACCGTCACGACCATGAATGACCAAATGGCTATTCCATTGCTGCTTCTCATTCAGAGCCATGCTCGGTAGGATGCAGATGTCGAGTCTCGTCGGCCGGGCGGCGGCGCTTCCTTTGATAAACAATCGCCTCCGCAAGGCGTTTTTGCGAAACATTTTGAGTCGCCATCAAGATGACATCAGCTTTCTCCGTACGACTAATAAACAGGAGATTCGTTGGAGAGCCTGCAACGCCGAAAACTTGACAACTCATTCTTTATCCATCAAGAAAATCATCCAGGGCAACAGTATAGACTCATTTCACATCGCAAATTTGGACGAAACGGGCACTTCCCCAAACAAAGACTGTCTAAAGTCAGACAAGCGCAAACATTTCGTCACAAGGTCATCTTTTGCGGTTCAGAGGTCCTCAGAATTCCGAAACATTGAGC